TGTCCCTTGGGGCAGCCACATGTGTTTCCTGTCCCTCAAGGTGGCCCCACGTTTCCCCTGTCCCTTGGGGCAGTGCCATGTGTCCCCTGTCCTTCAGGGCAGTCCCATGTGTCCCCTGTCCCTCAAGGCAGCCCCATGTGTCCTCCTGTCTCTCGGGGCAGCCCCATGGGTCCTCCTGTCCCTCAGGGCAGCCCCACGTCCCCTGTCCCCTGGGGCAGCTCCACATGTCCCCTGTCCCTTGGGGCAGCCCCACGTGTCTCCTGTCCCTTGGGGCAGCCCCACGTGTCCCTTGTCCCTCAAGGCAGCCCCATGTGTCCTCCTGTCCCTTGGGGCAGCCCCACATGTCCCCTCTCCCTTTGGCCAGCCCTGTGCCCACAGCACCAGGCTGGGTGGGTAGTTTGCCTGGTGCTCTGGTGGTCTCAGCTGCCCCAGCACCTCCCTCCTGCTGCCACGGTGGCCAAGGGGACACATGGGGAGCACAGAGTGGGTCCCTCCCCTCAAAAAAAACCCCAAATCCAAACAAGCCTGGGTTGACAAGACGGGTTGGAGAACATCATCTGCCGGGTGAGAACTGGGGTGTCTGTGCCGGGGCCGTGCAGGGAGCAGATCATCCGGCTGCAGGGCCAGGTGGACAAGCACTACGCGGGGCTGAAGGAGGCGGCTGAGGAGCGTCACCGGCGCCTGGAGAACATGTCCCACCTCTTCCAGCTGAAGCGGGAGGTGGAGGACCTGGAGCAGTGGATCGCTGAGCGCGACGTGGTCGCCTCCTCCCAGGAGATGGGGCAGGACCTGGACCACGTCACGGTGAGGGGGGGAGGAGGGCGGCGCCGAGGTGGGGCTGCTTTTTGTGGGGGGCAAACTCAACTCTCCTCTCCTCCCTACGCAGCTCCTGCGGGAGAAGTTCCGGGAGTTTGCACGGGAGACGGGCAGCGTGGGGCAGGAACGGGTGGACCGGGTGAACTTGACCATCGAGGACCTCATTGACGCGGGACACGCGGAGGCGGCCACCATGGCCGAGTGGAAGGATGGGCTGAACGAGAGCTGGGCTGACCTCCTGGAGCTGATTGACACCCGCATGCAGCTCCTGGCCGCCTCCCACGACCTCCACAAGTATTTCTACGATGGCTCCGAGCTCCTGAGCCTCATCGCCAACCGGCGCCAGGAGCTGCCCCAGGACCTGGGCGAAGACGCGGGCACGGTGGGAGCTTTCCACCGCATGCACAGCGCCTTCGAACGGGACCTTCGGCTGCTGGAGACGCAGGTGAGGCTGCACACTGGAGCTGGTGGGATGTCCAACGTTGCCACCACCGACGCTCAACATCTCCCACGTTCTCCACCGGGTAGGTGCAGCAGTTTCGGGAGACGGCCGCTCGTCTCCAGACCTCCTATGCCGGGGAGAAGGCAGCTGGCATCCAGGAGCAGGAGCAGGAGGTGGCCCGAGCCTTTCGGGAGCTGCTGGAGGCCTGCAGCGGGCGCCGGACCCGGCTGGAGGACACGGCTGACAAGCACCGTTTCTTCAGCATGGTGAGGGACCTGCTCTCCTGGATGGAAAGCACCGTCCGGCAGATCGAGACGCAGGAGAAGCCCAGGTAGGGTGGTGCCTGGTGAACACCTGGTGCCCAAGTGCTGGGACCCAGGGCACCACCGACACCTCTCTGTCTCCAGGGACGTCTCCTCAGTGGAGCTGCTCATGAAGTACCACCAAGGCATCAGGGCTGAGGTGGATGCCCGGGACAAGAACTTCACCACCTGCATCGAGTTGGGCAAGAAGCTGCTGCAGCGCAAGCACCAGGACTCGCCTGAGGTGAGGGCAGCCAGGGTGTGGCACGGGCAGTGTCACCAGTGTCACCTTGACCATGGTGTCCCTTCAATCATGGTGTCCCCTCACAGATCAAGGCAAAGCTGGTGGAGCTGGTGGAGAAGAGGAAAGCCATGATGGAGACCTGGGAGCAGCGCTGGGACCGGCTGCGGCTACGTGAGTGCTCCAGCAGTCCCGGGGGGGGACCACGGCATGGCTGGGGGGTGGTGACAACAGGGTACTTGAGCCCTGCCCGTCCCTGCCCGCAGTGCTGGAGGTCTGCCAGTTCTCCCGGGATGCCTCGGTGGCCGAGTCGTGGCTCATGGCCCAGCAGCCCTACCTGGCCAGCAGAGACTACGGGCAGACGGTGGACGCGGTGGAGAAGCTGCTGAAGCGGCACGAAGCCTTCGAGAAGTCCTCAGCCACCTGGGAGGAGCGGATCGCTGCCCTGAGGAAGCTGACAACGGTGAGGAAGGCTTGGGATGGGACCTGGCTGGTCCTGGCAATCCCCTGCCTCAGTTTCCCCACTAACTCTTTTGTCCCCTTTCCCTGGCAGCTGGAGCTCCTGGGCGGGCGGACGCTGAGCGAGGGGCTCGGACGGGATGGGACAAGACGCTCCGAGGCTCCGGAATATCGCCTGGATCTGGATGGGGAGCTGGAGGCCGGGTAAGAGACTCCAGCACCATTCCCAGGTGGCAACATCTCAGACAGGGACACCCGGGCACTGTTTCCATCATCCTTCTCCTTAGAACTTTGAGGGATATTTTAGGAATTTTCCCTTTGGGAGCAGCAAATGTCCATGGAGATGGTCGAGCCATGCCGGGGCTTTCATCCCTCGTGTGGATGGGATTGCAGGCCTGGATCCCAGTGGGAATTCTGGGGGAGTGTGTGGTGCTTTGCTGGGGCTGCTGATCCAGCTGCTTTCCTGTGGCAGGTCAGAGGAGGAGGAGGAGAAGAGGAAGGACACGAGCCCACGGGACACTTCACCCACCGCCGATGGACCAGAGCCGGTCAGTTCTCCAGTTTAGCTTTCTCCTTCCCTGGCACCACAAAATGTCTCCCCGCATGTCCCGCAGGCTCCCAGCAGACCCCGTGACCTTCACCTTCACCTTGGCATGCTGATGTCTCCCTGCACCCCTCACCCTTCCCCTTGGCTCCTTGCCTTGTGTTGAATAAATGCTGAATCACCCCCAAAAAGGGCAGGGCAAGCACTGCACCTTCTCCCACCAGAGCATCCCTGCTCCCTGTCACCAGGCTGGAACCCATGGGTGGCTCTGGGATGGGGACAATGGCCAGAGCTGGAGGCTCTGTCCCAGGGTGGGCAGATCCCTGCCTCCATCCTCAGCTGTCAGCAAGGCCACAGGTGTCCCTGGATAAATCCTTGGGGACACGGCGTGGGTTTGGGCACCTGGCTCTCCAAGAACCCCAGGAGGAGACACTGGGCTGAGCCACCAATGGACACACACGGCAGCTTGGGCTGTCATCACCCTTTGGGCATCATCACCCTGTGGGGGTGTCACCCTGTGAGGCATCGTCACCCCAAAGGACATCATCGCTGTGTGGGGCATTGTCACTCCACAAGACATCGTCACCCTGTGGGGCATTGTCACCCCAAGGGACATCATCACCCCACGGGACATCATCACCCCATGGGGCATCGTCACCCTGCAAGACATCATCACCCTGCAGGGCATCATCACCCTCCCAAGCATCATCACCCTGCAGGGCATCATTACCCCACACGGCATCATCACCCCTCAGGTCATTGTCACTCTGCAAAGCATTGTCACCCCCCAGGGCATTGCCACTCTCAGGGCATTGTCACCCAGTGTGCCAGCCACCCTGTGCTCTCGCTGCCAAAACCTTTGCTCCTCCTGCCTGCTCTGCCTGCCTGGGGACAGGAACCCTTCTGCCTCTTCTGCTTGCCTGGAGACACAGGCATCTTCTGGCTTCTTGGGGACAGGGTCCCCTCTATCTGCTTGGGGACACACGCATCTTCTGGCTCTTTGAGGACAGGGTCCCCTCTATCTGCTTGGGGACACAGGCATCTGCTGACTCCTTGGGGACACAGGGTCCCCTCTATCTGCTTGGGGACACAGGCATCTTCTGGCTTCCTGGGGACAGGGTCACCTCTATTTGCCTGGGCACACAGGCATCTTCTGGCTCTTTGGGGACAGGGTCCTCTCTGCCTGCTTGGGGACATGGACATCTGCTGGCTCTTTGGGGACAGGGACTCCTCTGCCTGTTAGGGGACATGACCACTGTCACCTGCTTGGTGACACATGCATCTTCTGGCTTCTTGGGGACAGGATCCCCTCTGTCTGCTTGGGGACTCTTCTACTGTCAACTGCTTGGGGACACAGGCATCTTCTGGCTCCTTGGGGACAGGGTCCCCTCTATCTACTTGGGGACACGTGCATCTTCTGGCTCCTTGGGGACAGGGTCCCCTCTGCCTGCTTGGGGACGCTTCTACTGTCAACTGCTTGGGGACAGGGTTGCCCTTTGTCTGGGGACACAGGCATCTGCTGGCTCCTTGGGGACACGATCCTCTGCGTTTTTGGGGAGATGGCCACTGCCACCTGCCTGGGGACAGGTTCCCCTCTGTCTGCCTGGGGACAAGACTATTGCCCGTCTGCTTGGGGACACAATCCTTCTCTGCCCGCTCAGGGACATGGTCACCTCCCAGCTGCCAGGAACTCCCCCCCCTGTCAGCAGAGACCCACACACAGGGTGGCCACCACAGGAGGGGTCCCTCGGG